CAGTCCATAACCCTCAAGGGGTGTACAATCTAAGGTCCCTAACTTACATTCATACATACACATACTAAACAGGACCCAATTTACATATATATGCAAGTATATATATATATATATATATATATATTTTACATTCACATCAGTCCCTAACCTCAACGGGAGTACAAATTAAGGTCCTTAACTTACATTCATACACATGCTAGGGCCAATATAGACAGGATCCAATTTATATATATATATATATATATATATATATATATATATACAGTATTTATATATTGTACATTCACATCAGTCCCTAACCCTCAAGGGGTATATAATCTAAGGTCCGTAACTTACATTCATACACATACTACGGCCAATATAGACAGGATCCAATTTACACATATATATATATATATATATATATATATATATATACAGTATTTATATATTGTACATTCACATCAGTCCCTAACCCTCAAGGGGCATATAATCTAAGGTCCCTAACTCGCATTCATACATACACACTAGGGCCAATTTAGACAGGAGCCAATTTACATATATATATATATATATACAGTATATACTATATATATCAAGGGGCATACAATCTAAGGTCCCTAACTAAGATCATACATACACATACTAGGGCCAATTTAGACAGGATTCAATTAACTTACCAGCATGTCTGGAGTGTGGGAGGAAACTGGTTTACCTGGAGGAAACCCACATGGGCAAGGGAGAACATTCAAGCTCCAGGCAGGTGATGCCGTGGTTGGGATTTGAACCAAAGACCCTATTACTTCTAGGTGGAAGTACTAACCATTTAGCCACTATTCTGCCCCTCCAGTTTTTAAAGCTTAAAAAAGAATTTCAGGCAAAATGATTATTTTCCCATGCAGTGGGGCTGTGCCTACCCTGCATGGGTTATACACTTGTTTTTGTCTAGGGGCTGCAAAACCAAAGATGTACTTACTTAATCCTCCAATCCTTCGAGCGCAAGACCTGTCCCCACCGCTCCTGCTGCCTCCCCGCACGCTAGCAGTCTTGAGAATGGGCTCCAGACATGAGGACGCCAGGAACAGTCCACCACTGGACATGGGGGAGCATGGTTTTCCAGACGATCGGAGGAATAGGTAAGTACAGCTTTTCCCTGAGCCCCTGGACAAAATTAGCAAATCAACAGCCCCACTTCATGGGAAAATAGAAGTTTTGACCGGCATTATGCTTTAAATCTTCCCCTGCTGTGGGGCTGTCTTCATATTGCATGGGTTAAAGCCCAACTCTGGGTACAATAAAAAAAATACCCTACCACAAGGGTTAAATGTTAAGTCCAGGGAGATGCAGAAGGAGGTCTGTTACTTACCTTTTCCTCACTTCAGCAGTTCCACTGCTCCCTCCCATCCTCCTCTCTAACCTGCTCTTAGCTGTGGTCGCATACTTGCCCCTACCACATATAATACAGGGTTAATTGCCCTGCATTGTGCGTGAGGATGCAGAGTGGAGCTTCAGGGAGAAGAGGACATAACCAGAACCGGCCGGAGCACAGAGCCTAGTAAGTAATACACCCTCTCCCTGTACCCCCTAGACTTAGTAAGCATTTTACCCTTTGCAGCATGGGGGGCTCCACTGCACGAATATTCGTTTTGTTGTGCCCGGAGTTGGGCTTTAAGCGATGGTTTATGTCTAGGGAATGGGAAAAGCAGTCTTTCTTGCCCTATCCTCCGCTTCCCTGGTTCTCCACTCCTACCCTATGCTCCAACTTGTGAGTCAGCCCTTGCCATCCTCATGTTCAGTGCAAGGCTATGCACCCTGCATTGTACTTATTGATATCAGAGGACCTGTGACCACCAGAGCATAGGGGAGAAGGGCCTCTGGGAACTGATCTTACAGCATGGAGGAGCCTGCAGGAGTGGTCAGTCAGGTAAGTAAAACTGCTCTCTCCAGTCTTCTAGACCTAAATGAACATTTATCCCTTGCAGTTCTGTGGCAGCCCCACTGCAGGGGGAGGGTGGGGGGGGGGGGGTTGTGTTCTCTGGATCTCAGACTTAAAGTAGTATTAAATGCTCCTGTTTTTCTTATCCCTATTAAAACTTACACTGCAAGTTGTTTTCTTTTTGTTTTTAAAGCGATACTAAAGGTTCTTTCTTTGTTGTTGTAAAATAACAAACATGTCTATACTTACCTGCTGTGTGCAGTGGGTTTGCACAGAGCAGTCTGGATCCTCCTCTTCTCTGGTCCTCTGCAGGCTCTCTTGGCTCCTCCTTTCTGTTGGGTGCCCCCATAGCAAGCAGCTTGGTATAGTGGCACCCGCTGCTCTGTGTGTCCATTCACACATGGAGCCGTGGCTTGGCCCCACCCCCTCTCTTCCCATTGGCTGACTGGCTGTGATTAACAGCAGTGGGACACAATGGATCCCGCTTGCTGTCTCAGCCAATGCGAAGGCAGAGACCCGGGACAGCCGAGGCTGTCATGCACATCGCTGGATCGTGATGGGACTCAGGCAAGTATTGAGGGGCCTGGGGGCACTGCTGCACTCATAAGGTTTTTTATCTTCTTTAATAGGTAAAATGAAGGTAAAAAACCTTCAACCTTTACAACCACTTTATTAAGAATATGTCCATAATCACTTACGAGTTTAACCTCTAAAAGGCACTTGCTCTCTTCCACACAGCCTGACAGCTTTTACAGAAAAGTCATGTAGGCAATCTACTTGCACCCAAAGAATGCCTTAAAGTAGAACTCTAGGCAAAACTTTTTTTTTAAATTTTGGATAGAGTAATGGAATGTTATTACCTTGTCACTTTTTTGCCATCTCTGTCCCCTAGGGGAGATTACTCTTCACTTCCTGTCCCATAGTCAAAAGAGGATGTGAGAGAAAATCTCTCCAAAGTGAGGAAATGCCGGTGTGTCACCAGGGTCACCAGAACTAGTGTCCCCATTAGAAGAGTTCCCCTCTATTAGTGTTCTAGGGACAACTTAAACATTGTGATTTTCTCTTTCAGTTTTGATGATAATGGCAAACAGGACAAATAGAGAGGGTGATTCATCCTAATGGGGACACAGACAGCAATAAAAAAACCTGACAGGTATTCTAATCCCTCTCCGCTCTATACAAAACTAAAAAAAGGTTTTATTTTCAGTGACACTTTAAATATTTATTTAAAATGCAGCAAAGTAAGTACCTCGAAGAGAAAATGTAATTAAAAAAAAATGGTGAACAGGCAGGATTTTTAATATCAAAGCATACAAGTAATTCAACAAAACAATGGCTGCAACAGCACAGAATATGTCTTCTGGAGTGGCCCAGTCAGAGTCCTGACCTCAACCCGATTGAAATGCTGTGGCATGACCTTAAGAGATCGATTCACACCAGACATCCCAAGAATATTGCTACACTGAAACAGTTTTGTGAAGAGGAGTGGTCCAAAATTACTCCAGATCATTGTGCAGGTCTGATCTGTAACTACAGGAAACGTTTGGTTGAGGTTATTGCTGCCAAAGGAGGGTCAACCAGTTATTAAGTCCAAAGGTTCACATACTTTTTCCTCCCTGCACTGTGAATGTTTACATGTTATGTGCAATGAAACCATGGCAACATCTAATGTTTGTGTAGTATTATGTTCAGCAGACTGTGTTCTTCTATTGTTGTGACGTTCAGAGCACATTTTATGCCCAATTCATGCAAAACTCCATGTAATCCCAAGGGGTTCACATACTTTTTCTTGCAACTGTATATACTAAGGATTAGTGCAATAGACTCATACTGAATTGACCTGTTTCTGCCTTGTTTCAATAATCTTTCATATTTTGTTACTCTGCATCCTCCTGTATAGTTCCACTTTAATTTGACCTAGTATCCTGCAGTCCCTGTATAACAGGGCTGTAGTGTGAAAGGAAGAAGCAGCACAAGGAGCCAGTTATTTCTGACAATAAGCATGCTGATAGGAAGAGAAAGCAGAGTGACAGAGAAATGAGCTCATCACTGTGAAGCTTTTCCTTTCACTGTCCAGCCACAGACTGGGGTGAGCCAAGCACAACCTGGACTCAGAGGAAGTAGGTTGAATGATGCTGGCCGTCAGACTGAGGACATCTAGTGGTAGAGGAAAGCATTGCAGGACAATTCTCTTGATTTGTTTTCTATTTTAATAGGTAATTAATTTAATTTTTTTTCTATTTATTTAGAGTTCTGTTTTAAGCAAGGATTTGGGCTCCCAAAAGTTTGAGTTTACAAAATATATGAATATCAGTGTTTGAATTAGGGATACAAATTAATTTTGTTTTCCATTTAATACCCATGGTCTTAAGATATATGTTCTTCTGTGAAAGGTTTGCAGTGGGCAGAGAAGGAAAGGACTGCATACTAACAAACAGACTTTAAATGGAGCATTGAAATCTTTGTGCTTCAGGGCATCACAGCTTCACTGTGACCATGATCATGTGCAACTGTTGCATAAATCTTATTTTTATTTTCTGTATATATATTTGATGAGCATTTATACAACGAAGCCATCTATTCAGCTGATATATGATTCATACTATGAATTAGCGCATATTTGAGCATCTGCTTTTTTAAATGTTATTTCAGGCATATGTTGTGCATGTATTTATGCGCGTATTTTGTGCGGCATATGCACATTCGCGCATTTGTGCGCACAATATATTCTTAGGGAAAATTATTTTATATTTATGCTCATATGTGCGTATTTGCGCACAATTGCGTGCAGGCGGCGTAAATTACTGACAAAAATGCAGATTTTCCTATATTTTTTCTGCTGAGGAATACACAGCTCTTGTTCACACTCCTTTATGCAAAGGCACATTGTAAATAATGGGCTACATTTTACCTCTAGAAATAACACTGTGCTGAGCTTTTCTGAACTGAATACGCCTGTTTTTGTCCTGTTTCACAGCTACAAAAATGCTTTCTAATCAACATATTCCATATTTTTGTTACTTTGTATTCACCAGTGTTTTGAAACATGTCATGCTGTGGATAATAATATATATGTTTTATATTACAGAACCCATTCAGCGCAGATGAAGCAAGCTCCATTGTAAAAGAGGTGGGTCTCACAGCTGTCAGAATACACTGATCATTGGCTGCAGATGAATGGCTGCAGCTACTGATAGATAAAAATTTTCCAACATGTCTCTTCAACTGAAGTTGATCAAATTATGTTGAACAGGGATGGCCACACACTGATAAATCGCTGCCGTCCCTGCAGAATTGGTCTGAATTTGATCAATGTATTATTATTATTATACAGGATGTATATAGCGCCAACAGTTTGCGCAGCGCTTTACAATATAAGGGAGACAGTACAATTACAATAATTTCAGTACAGAAGGAAGAGAGCCCTGCTCATGGAGCTTACAATCTAAAGGAAGGGGGAGATGATACAAAAGGTGATAGCTGCGGGGGATGATCTGGCGGAGGTGATTCAAGTACAGTTCTTAGGTGGAGGTGGGGTAGGCTTCCCTGAAGAAGTGAGTTTTCAAAGATCGCCTAAAGGCAGACAGGGTGGGGGCTGACCGGACATGCTGTGGTAGGGAGTTCCAGAGGATGGGAGAGGCTCTGGAGAAGTCCTGGAGGCGAGCGTGGGAGGAGGTGATGAGGGAGCTAGAGAGGAGGATATCATGGGAGAAGCGGAGTGGGCGATTTGGGCGGTATCTATGGATGAGGTTGGTGATGTAGCTAGGGACAGTGTTGTGGATGGCTTTGTAAGCCGTGGTTAGTATTTTGAATTTTATAGGTTGGGTTAGTGGAAGCCAGTGGAGGGATTGGCAGACTGGCAAATGTATGGCCAGCTTTAGACCAGCCTGTCTGAAGCAGGGTTCTGTGGAACTCTAGGGTTTCTACTGAGGTTGCTAGGGGTTCCTTGAGCTGTGAGAAAGGCAAATTGGTGGCCCCTGGGGGTCGAGTGAAGGAGGGGAGGAGGCACTCTAGCCACTGGAGGATTTAAGCACTAGAGTGACACTTTTGATTAGAGCGCAGATTTGAAGTGGAGGAAGAAGAAACGCACTTTTTGATATATATTTATTTATTTTTATTTATTTATTTCACATGAGAGTGTTAGCATGCACTTTGCACTTTATTACATATAGCATGTTTATAATGATTGATTTTTAACACTTGTACCTTTATGTAGTGATTGTTCATTGTGAGCACATTTATATTATCATTTAAGTTGTATTTTATATATATATGTGATTGTGAGCACTGGTCACTTTTATACACACTGAGTGTGTGCACTATTTTGTACCTATTTCTAACTTCCTTGGTGGTAGACTGGTTGTTTTTTTTTTCTGCTGGTTTACACATTTATATTGGATTGATGCTCTAGTCACTTTATTCTTATTAGTTATTTTTTTTTTATCATGCATTTTTTATTAGGTTTATTTATCTAGTACCCCCAAGGCTGAGCGCTTCATCCCTTTTGTTTCTGTGTCTTTGTGGATCCCAAGGCAAATTGAGCTCCCATCTGTAGGGATCCGCAGTGCAAGGGGGTCAATTTTCCACTCATCACCAATGTAAGGGGCACTTCTTCGCTGACCACTAATGTTGGGAGATGCCACAATTTTTAGACTTATTTTTGTTTTTTTTTTTATAATTTCAATAACTGAAAATAATTTTGTTATATAGAGAAGGAGGATGTAAAAATATTATCTGCCTTGGATGTCAAATATTCCAATTATGCCACATTATTTAGTCTTTAATTTAAATATTTTTTGCTCTGACAACTTGTTGGTCGACCTGTGAGCTGTAGGTATAATAATTTTAGCAGGGGTTCCTCAAGACCCGAAAACTATTTAAAGGATTCCTCCAAGGTGGAAAAGCGCGCACCTGTCGCTTTCTGTGAAAGCTGTATACTTTGGACACAGCTGATCGCAAATCACGGTAAAGGGCCAAATCACAGCTGCCATATACCATGTGATCAGGTGTGTCCAATCACAGCTGATCATGATGTAAATACACTTGCCGGTTATCGGCAGTACTTTCCTCCAGCTGTCACAGTGTGAGAAAAGTACTGCTGATAAGCAGCAAGTGTGAAAGGAGACATCTACACTGATAATCAGGGCACTAATTATCAATGCAACCCCAACAGTGCTGCCTATTAATGGCAGACAGTTTCCATCAGTGCTGCCAGTCACTGATCAGTGCTGTCAGTCAGTGTCATCTATCAGTGCTGCCTATCAGTCCTATTCAGTGCTGCCTATCAGTGCCCTTCTGTGCTGTTTATTAGTGCACATCAGTGCCTCCTCATCAGTGCCCACAAGTGCTGCCTCATCAGTGCCCATCATTGCAGCCTATCAGTGCCCATCAGTGCTACCTATCAGTGCTGCCTCATCAGTGCCTATCAGTGCAGCCTATCAGTGCCCATCAGTGCAGCCTCATCAATGCACATCAGTGAAGGAGAAAAATTACCTGTTTGCAAAATGTTATAATAGAAACTAAGAAAACCTTTTTTTATACATATATTAAATATTTGGTCTTTTTTCATTTGTTTAGCAAAAAATAAAACACACAGTGATGATTAAATACCGCCAAAAGAAAGTTCTATTTGTGTGATAAAAAAGATATATGGGTACAGTGTTGCATGACCGCGCAATTGTCATTTAAAGTGCGACAATGCTAAAAGCTGAAAATTGGCCTGGGCAGGAAGGGGGTGAAAGTGCCCGGTAGGCAAGTGGTTAAAATAAAGATATAGGCTTCACCATGCCAGTACACTCTGGTGATTCTTTGTACAAAAATAAAAAGCTGCAGCAACCTCAGGGTTAAACATAAAATGGGTGAAAAGTAAATGAATCCCAAAGAAGTGCTGAGCTAAGGGAATAGCAGAAAACCTTGGTCTAGCTTTTCATCCTGGAGGTGCAATTAGTGTTGTAAAGCTGGTCTAGTTCTGGTTGTGATTTCCTGTGCATTTAGACATACATTAACGTGAATTATGGATTAGGCCACCTTTCAGGGAGTCAGGTAGGTGAGCAGACTCAGAAATGAATTTAATGATTTATGCTTTTGTTTTGAAAGACATGTACTGTCTGTCCATCACAGTTAAAGGAAAAGTGTGGGAATGTAAAAAAAAAGAAGAATCTGGAAATGGACTTTCTAGGCACAGAAACTTAGTACATGAAAGAGTAAAATCAATGTTCCTTTATTGACATCACATCACCTCTAAAATGTATCTTGTATAATATCATTGCACAATTAGCCCACAGATAATATCCCATAACCCACCAGCCACATAGAATGATAGCAGTATAGATAGTTTCAACAAAGTAATCCTTCAAAGAGGTAGGGGACATTCAAGCTGTGCAGGCTGGGACGTGGTACTCTATTACCTACCTGGGTTTGACCTCCTACCACCCGAGGGTCACCCCAACCTTCCAATATATCACTGACCATATGCACTGTACCTCTTTACTGCAGCTGTCCCACACCAACTCTAAGCCCAAGAACTGAGCGATAATGTGACCGATGATCACTCAGTTCTCAGGTCCACTCTCTGCTCTGTCCCCCCAGAGCTCACTGGAGTGCCAGGCAGGAGAAGGGATGGAAGGTGCTGGCTCAGGCTCTTGGTGGCATGCTGAGAGGCTGAGCCTGCTACCAGCCAGGCATCTGGGTGGATCCCGACATTATTTTCAGGACACTTACAGAGTCTGGATCAGTTCTTTGACCAGGGATGGCTCTGTATAACCAGCATGCCCATACATTTGCTCAAAATTGGGCCAATCCCTGCTGAATCAGCTAAATTTCAATCCATGTTTGGCTGCCCTTAGCTAATACAGTGGCTTTCTAGAGTTGAGTATGTGCACTTGTTATGCCAAATCCCCTTATTTCAGAACGCACAGCATTGTTTGCATGCAAATTGCTTTTCTTTTGTTGAGGAAATGTACACTAAGCAGAAACCACTGTCCTAAGCTTCTGGATGGGGAAGTGTATACTGATCAATTGTTTCCTGAATCCCTGGTCATTATGTCTGTGACAGCCGCTCTGTAATTATAGAGGTTGCAGTTCTCGTGGAAAAATCATTAACACCAACAAGCAACAATACTACTGGCTGGAATTCTAAATGGCTCTTTATTCACCATGTATTTCATTGCAGTTTAAGGCTGGTTCACACCAGATGCACTCCAGTGTGTTTTTAGTCTGCATCAGAAATGCAAAGACATTATTTAACATGGATTCCTATGGTGCTAGTTTACACCAGTGCAGTGTGTTGCAGTGCAGCCAACAAAAGTAGAACATGTTGCATTTTGTCTGTATGGAACACATCTGGAACATGGCAAAATTCATCAAAAAGCGCACCAAAATGCCTCAATTTAATAAAGAAAAAAAGAGGAAAAAACACAACAGAATTCATTAAACTCATGGATGCAGAAACTCATCCAGGAGCACAGAAATGTGGTGTAAACTGGCCCTTAGGCTGGCAATACACTAGTATAATTTTGTTAGAAAATTTGTTAGAAGCTCTAGTCACATGTAACCAGGGTGGATAAAAATCAATGATTTTTTTAAAAAAATCAAAAAAATCAGATTTTTTTAATTTAAATCGGATTTTTTTGAATAAAATGCTTTTTGAGGAAAATATATTACCATCCAAAGGTTATTCCATCATGAAATAAAGATTAGTTTTTTATTTATGTAGAATAAGGCTGTATATGTTTAATTTGGTAAATAAATTCCATTAATCCGTTCACAATGTCATGCTCTTCCAGAGGTTTTTGTAAGATTATTGGGCAGTTTCTCTGCCTACAAGATATTATCACAGATGCTTGGTTTACTTTTGCAGTTCTCAAAACTGAATTTGACTCAGCGGAGATCACATGCCTCTTCTTCACAGCAAAAATGTTATAAACATGAACAGAGTTAAGAAAAAGACCTTAATCCTAACTTCTACAAACCTATGAATACAGAATCAACCCCTTCAGTGCTAAGTTTCAAGAAGTTCAGTGAATAGAATAGAAACAATATTTTTCTGATTGTTTGGAGTGGAATAGATCTGCACAAGAAGAAAGTGAAACGAAGTGTGAGGAGGAAGGGGCTGACAGTCTAAGTTTCTTA